AGAAATGGAAAAATTGTCGAATCCACTGAGAATGCGCGGCGTCACTGTTGGCTTGAGGCCTTTTAACCTGTTATATTTAACAATTATTCCACGAGCGCGCGTTGGATATGAGATGATAGATAGCCAACGAGGCGCGTAGCGCCGAGTTGGCTATAATCATCTCATATCCAACAAGCGCGAGTGGAATAATTGTTTTATTAAAAACGCCCCCAAGAAATTATTATTTTGTAAGAAGAAACTGGATTTTTTAGCTCCCTTTTGATTTTAAGCTGACGCGTACGCTTACCATATTTGTAGATTATGGTATATTGGCTGATATACCATAAAGGCTAAGCCAATAAAAAGTCTTGAATTGCACTATCTAATGATCTAGTTTTTAATAATTTGAATTATTCAAACGACCATCGCGATATCAACGCAACCAACAAAATCATGGACCTTATACTTACATGTTCTGAGTCGCTAATTGCTTCGCTTATCCACCGGAATGGTTTTGCATCTGGGACTTTAATCTGTGACAAAAAATGTTCTTGATAATGTCCACCACCCAATAAAAAGCATAGATATGTTCAAAGGGGGGGGGGGTAGCCAGAATCTCGCAAGGGAAGGGTGGGGTCACAGTTACGAATCTTTGTGCCCCTCACTTAAAAGATATTAAACTGCTGCACTACCTTGAGTGTCGAGTGCAGTATTTAGGGTTTGAAGCGATTGATTCTAAAGGATTATTCGGATCCACGCATTCATTGCAAACCTAAATCATGATGTCTGTATTTTATTGACCTAACGAAATATAATTTCACAAAGCGGAGATGGTCATAGGCCAACCATGGACCCCCTATCCCAATATCTACGCCCCCGATGACATGTACGCTTATGTAGAATCGATCGAGCCAAATGGCCAGTTACTGCTACCCCTTTCCCCTTTTCGGATGAGACGCTCGTCCAGAGGAGGTAACCCCTACCCTACATCATTTATACTCTACCCGTGGGTAGAAAAGCGCCGAGCGAACCCAACACAATGACCCAGCTGGAGTTTGAGCCCCCGACATTCGGAAGAAGAATTCACACTATAGCCACTGGGCTACCGCGCTTCCCAAGAAAGAACAAGTGATTTTTACAGTTGTAAGGTAGACCAGACCTGTTTGTTCTTTGGATAAACACAGGAGGCTGCTCGGACAAAGTCGCAGTAAACGTATTCTGCATCATTAGAGCATCCCTCGTTGGGATCTATCCAGTATTCACCTGAAAAAAAAATTAAAAAAAAAAAGAAAATATAAAGAAAAAGGAATTCATTTGTAAAACAGAAAAAAATTAATTAACATGACTTTTTTCACAACTGCATGTGAGCAACAGGATGGATTTTCCCTTTAATAACAGTTCGCTGTCAAAATTCTTTTAGTAAGCAAAGAGTACCAATAGCGCGGCTCATACAGACGGTAACACGATACCCATAATGCAGTATGTTTGGTCCAATTTACTCACCACTGGGATAATCAGGATGCTCAAGGTTAAGTTCCCTACAAGAGCGCGCTGGATGTCTCCTGGTGCCATTTTGTGATTTATATAAATGAAGAACATTGCTGAGGCCTCTAAGATAATATTCTGTGGTACTAGCATATTCCTGCTAAAAAAAAAAGATACACCAACACCAACATCAACTGTAACAGCTGTGACAAAAGAAAAGATTTATAGGTGAATCAACAACCACATAAACCAGGGGATACTTTCAGTACTAGTTTCTGTTTTTAACTCTTTGACCCTAGAAGTGACAAGCATCTTATTCCGCCATACAGTTTTACTTCTTAGAGCATCAATGTCGCCAGAATGAAGGTAGTGATCACCAACTAAACAAGCTCTTGATTGTTGAACAAATTCTCTTCATCAAAACTTAAACGAAATTTATTGAGAACAGTAAAGAGAATACACATACTGAGGTTAAGACGTAAAGGGTTCAGGCAAGGGTGCAAGGAGAATTTGTTTAACAATCAAGAGCTTCTTTAGCTGGTGATCATTTCCTTTACTCTCATGACTTTAATGTGTGATTCAAGGGGTGATATTGTATAAAGACTATTCTAAAAACTGTTTATTAAGACTCATTGCAGCAATATACAAATTGGCTGAATTACAGAGCTATTTACAAAACATTTAATACTAAAATATAATACAATAAATCCAATAATACTAAAAAGCATAATTATACAAGCCACTAGGTGTACTTATGCGTGTCAAACTCTTGCGTGCACTTGGTCCTACAAGTAGGACGCGTGGAGCGGCTAACGCCAGATCTAAGATTATAATTATGCACAACCTCTTCCTGTTTAGGGAGCATAAAATGCAAGGGGTGAGTCTCATTCCGGAGTCTATCAATATAAACCTGGCATAGATGGGCGCGTCTGTCAGTTCCCAGAGTCAACTGCTGTACATTTGGGGGTCGCGCTTTCACCCACGCTGCACAGGTTCTATGGAACTCTTTACCGCTGATTATTAGATCTAGTAGCAGTATTTCTGTGTTTAAAAAAAGACTGAAGACTTTTCTTTTTAAAAAGGCTCTTAATTTGGGATTTTTGGTTTATTTGATATATATTCTTATTGTACAGCGCTTTTGAATATTGACCAATAGTTAAAGCGCTCTATAAATATATTATTATTATTATTATTATTATCATTATTTACTTATCAGATTATTAGACTTTGAATCTGTTCAGATTAGACTCCGTTATTTATAGTTTTCCAGACGCTTTCAGAAAAAAAAGGAGTAGATGTGAGCCGAAAGTGAGTTATTTTGGATCGTTTTTTACGCTGTTAATATTTTGTATTGTAGAGGATTTTATGGAAATTATTACTAAATAAAATTATCATTATGCATTATTATTATTATTATTATTATTATTATTATTATTAATGTTGTTGTCTGTGACGTCTGTAACGAGAAATTAGATGCTGGTCCCTCGTTGGAGTCTATCTAAAGACTCATCTACAGGTGTAGCTATATGCTTCATCGTAAAGACACTACCTCTTGTGTTGAGTACAGTCTAAATCCTGGGCCTTTATTTTGTTGGGTCTGATGTGAAAGCGCCTAAAAATAACCAGAAGACTTGAATGTAAATGCGAATAAAAAAAATACTATGAAACGACGGGTTAACATGATTTTTTCTTACCCAGCCAAGTGATACTTTCCCAGGAAGTCCCTGCATGAAAGAAAATCAAATCGAAGCAAGTCAGCTGATCGCGTAGTATGATCGTAATAGAGGGAAACGGTGAAAATGATTGACGATTCGACAGCATGGGCAGAAATTGTTACTTTAGTGACAGATCTAGGGGAAGGGCACGGAGCCCCCCTTATTTTAGTAAAAAAATAAACACAGAGGGAAGAAAAGCCGGCAGGTGAACACACACAAACAAAAACAAGCCCCCCCCCCCTCCCCTTAGCTCCAGGTCTGGATCCGTCACTGTACTTGAATATATTTTAGTTCGCAATCAGGTCACTGAGACCAATCACGGTACTTTTCCAGACCACTAGTTCTCTCACAGATAGCATGATCAACTCTTACTTGCGGGTTCAAACTATCTCCTGCACTACAGGGTAAATCGGCGTGAGAAAGGCACAAGCTGGTTGACGTAGGATTATCTTATTCTGTTGCATCACTTGTATGAGCACAATATAAAATAAATTATTCAAGGTTCGACCGTGACTTTATGCATTGAAACTTCAGTTTAGGCAGTCGAAAGCTACTCTGATTAGGGACACGCGTGACGCATTTACACTAATCGCGCGCAGGTGAAAATAAATCAAGGATAGTAGAAGCTGATATCCACAGCAAGATTAACAATAGCTAGAAATTCAAACCCGTCCAACCTGTTCTCCTGGTGGGCCAGGTGGTCCGGGAGGTCCCTGAGGTGAAAAAGTAAAGTCACGTGGAAGTTCAAGTTTCTCCGTTAATGGAATCATGGGACAAAGCCAAAGGCAAAAAACAGAAATAAACAAACAAACAAAAACAAACAAACATTTCAAAAAAATCGATGAAAACTTTTGCATACACACAAAAACCACCTTTTAAGGAAAAGAGTAAAATAAACATGAAATCATGTCTTCTTTGCCTCTGGATTCTTGGAACAACGCGAACAAAACACCAATAACGACGACGACAATGACAACGACAACAACAACATAGCAATAAACAAAACGACAGAAAATCTTAGCACAATAGGACAATGACAATGCCCTGGTCAGAATAACAGTAAAATGCGGAAAAAGTAGCACTGGCTACATGTCGAGAAGACCCGTTAACTTACTTCAAGCCCTGCAGTTCCCTGTGGGAAGAAAACGGAAGAATGTTACATAGTTATTAGGCGTGAAAATGAAAGATTAGATTCGCCTCATAAAATATTCTACAGTCCCTCTATCAAGTTTTAGTTCGTTTGGCCCTATTTTTGGCCAAAAAATTATCCCTTTAAAGTTCCGCAGAAAATGCATGTCGACAATTTTTTATATTAAAAGGATTGTTTCTATCAACTAAGTTGATAATGTAAAATGGCTACAGCAAAGACTTTCCGCCTACAGCTTACATTTCGAGCAGAATTGTCAGCTGTAGAAACTTTTTATGGTGGCCAGTTTACATTATCAACTAGGTTGACAAACCATTTTTTCTACATAGTTCATAGACAGATCAAAATAGGATCTGATGCGATATGGTTCAGGTTCGCGCAAGGAAAGAGTGAGGCCAAATGCCTAATTCGCAAGTTTTCATCTAAAGTATTTTAAAAATTCAATTTTGTAATGGCGGCACCCGCGTGAAGAGTAAAGGGTCTTACGCCGACGATCTCTTAGATCTAATTCGTCATTATTTTTTGAGCGTCCCAATGGGCGCATGTTATCTACATTAGGAGCCCGCTCATTTTATTCTGCTCGCCCTATACTATTGAATAGCCTTCCAGGAAATATCCGACAAATAACATCATTAAGTATTTTTAGGAAAAAACTTAAGACACATCTTTTTACCTTAGCTTACGACAAGTAATTCTCAGCAACGACATATTACCAAGGGGTGGGGGTATCAATTGTGCATTTTACATTAAGTTTTAGAGATATATCTTATATTCATGTAAAGCGCTTTTGATCATTTTTATGTTAAAGAGCGCTATATTAAGTTAATAATATTATTATTATTTCTCTTAGAAGTCACGTGATCAGAGGACAAATTAAAAATATTGGCCAACAAAGAGTCACAGGTAAGAGAGTAGGTACTGCATACATTAGATTGGTGATATAACGCGCGTGCGTGAAACTTACCACACTTCCTCTGGGGCCCTAAGCAAATCAAGTACAATACAAGAACAAAAAATCAATAAAGAATTCGATTTATAAGTGATTAATCGCGCACTATAAAACCGCCGCCACGCATGTCACCTACAAGAGTTTGTCACTAAGAGAACCAACACGATGCTAACCACTCTAAAACGTGTAGGATACCAGATCAGATTGAGATTGGAGGCAAAAGCATATTTTTGGGAAACTGTACTACAGTGAGAGCACAATGTTTCGGATACCATGGCCAATACGAAAAGTTCGTATAGAACTAGAAAGGCGAAAACCCTCGTTTGTACGGTAAGGAATTTTGTTTGCTATTCCTGGAAGGTTAGCTTAAAATTGATTCTACGAACATTTGTTTCACAACCTAGAAAGGGACAATTGCAAAAGATAGTTAAAATGTAAAACGATGGTACTCACGGGAGTTCCATGTTCTCCTTGAGGTCCGCTAAACCCCTAATAATAATAAAAGTGGGATTTTATTGACAATTACTGGAGAAAAATTACGTAAATTTCCACTTACAAGCCACCTTTATTATGAGCTTTGCAGCGCAAAGTTGAGCAGTAAGTACACGCTTGCAGTTCGCATTGATTATCATGACCACATTAATATATGAGCTTAAGAATGTCATAAATGCCTTATTGGCGCAATGGTTGCTGGAGATCTTAGCCATCCAGGACGGGCGAATTAAAATGGCGGGGCGAGTGAGATGAATTACGAGTGGGGTCCTGAACACTCCCCTTCCTCGTTATTCCAATCCAATTTTCCCCTACCCACTCATTCGTTCGTCCCTTCCAACCGAGAACCTGAAAACAGCTTGTAGAAATGATTCTTGGTGTTAATGAGATCAAACTAAGAACTTTCGACACGGAGAAACCAACTGATGATAACACCCACCTCAGCTCCAGTAAAGCCTTGTGGTCCAGGGGGTCCCTGAGGTCCCATTACGCCCTACAGCAAATATAACTCGTTCAAGAAGTGTACTTTTCCTTTACATTTTCCACGTTTACCCGCCCCATTAGCAGAAGAAAAATCGACTCGTGGCAATATAAACAACAAGTCAATCGATTTGTGAATAATTCTGGGTAAGGTCGCTCTCATTTGTTCATGATACGTCGGATATTGTTTTAAACTCAAATGTTGCCTCGTTCGGGATTCTTTTCTACGATTGGTTCACCCAGAAAGAACGATGCATGTCATGAATGAATCTAAGAATGGGCTAGCGCAATGCATAGATCTTTGTAGCTCAGTGGTAGAGGATCGAGAATGGAACATAAAGGGGTTCGATTCTGGGGGTTTTATTCTTCGTTGCAGACCCAAATTTTCTGTTTGTGCCACGCTCGAAACTAGACAATTAGCGTCTTTCCTTAACTGACTTTTCCACAGTTCTCTAAGAATAAAAAAGCGCCTTACACTTATCCATGTATCTCCATTAAAGCTTTCAGCAAATTTGGGATAGGCATGGCTACTCTTTCTTGGCGAGAAACCAGTAAGGTTCTTACCTTAGGTCCAGGTGGCCCAATACTACCATTGCGGCCTGCTTCGCCTGCTTCACCCTGATGTGTAACAAATGTCATTATGAAGATGTGATTATAACTATCATAAAAGTATTAAAGTAAACATTAGATTTCAGCTACGATTAATTTGATTGATCCAAACCTTAATCTCCAACTAGAAGATAACCACAAAATTTGAAAATGCCGTTTCACACATTCAACACTCAACACGGACGTTCCATCATTAACTGTGGTCATGTATGTCTATAGAGAAGATCTGCACTTTATATACATATAACGTTGTTACTCAAGTTGAAGGTGCTGACAAGGAGAATTTCTTAAACAATCCAGAGCTTCTTGAGCATGTGAAAATTACCTCAATTCTCGTGACCTTAAATACGCGATTCAGGGGTGATATAGTAAATGTTCAAATAGTAAATGATTCTTTTCTTACTTCGTTTCCAGGCAGACCAGGCATTCCTGGGGACCCTAGTAAACCTGGATCACCCTGAAATTAAATGATAAATCAAACTTTGCTTTTTGCTTGTTTAAATTTAAGTTAAATTGTCGAAAGGGGATAAATGAAACACAACAAAATACGAAAGTAAAATCATTTGCGCATCAGAAAAGGTGCAAATTGTACTATGTCTTTTCTGTTTGAAAAATACCGCGACATAGATTAAAAAAAAAGAAAGTTGTTTTGTGAATAATTTCAAAATGCCTCCGTTTTCAATTTTTATGGGATAAACGACGGCTTGTCTAATCTAATAATTTAACCTCAAAAACATTTTTAACTAACTCCTAGACAGCTACCCAAACATTGGATTTCAACGGGATGAAACAAAAGTGACAGGCCATTATATAAGCCATGCATGTGTTACATTATATAAAGCATTAAAATTGCGAAAAGGACCTTTCACAGAAGGAAAAAGAGAACAGTGATCGGTTAAGCAATTTAACAACGAAAAAAGGGAAGTGCAGGTAAGTGATAAGTTATTACCGTATTTCCCTCTAATCCAGTGTCACCCTCGTCACCAGCCCCTCCTTGTATGCCCTAAAGAATAGAAAGGGTATATGAGATGTCTGAATTCCTATCAGTGTTATAATAGAATGGTAATGCTAATTATATCTTATATTTTCTGTTTATTGCTCCCCACACGATAGATTACGTGGAAACTGAAGAGGAAAATAGACAAACGACAACAACAACAGCAACAAAGGGAATAACATCAATGGAAAAATGCATCAAGTGTAAAATAAAAAATCTCAACCTCCGCTCCAGGCAGTCCTGTCGGTCCCGGGCTTCCAGCCACGCCAAGATCTCCCTTCAAATCAAAAAGTTAAAAAATACAGCGAATCAAATTTTAAAAAAGAGGCCTTTTACAACAACAGAGATTTAATTTCCCAGTAAGTCGTAATTATTCCATCTGCATACTGGATACACACTTCACAGGGTATGTTTTGGTTGATACGCCCCGTACGCGTTACTCACCGGTTCTCCCTGAATTCCTCTTTCCCCCTTCTCTCCCAACTCTCCCATTGAACCTATCATCCCTTGCCGCCCAGGCATTCCCGCTCTTCCTTGTTCCCCTTCGCCTCCCTGGAAAACAGGAAACAAAAGATGATCAAACGAAAACGCACCTGAAGCCTTGGGTTAGTTTGGTTGGAGTTACTCACTTTTTCGCCCGGCTCTCCATCTTGTCCCGGTTTACCGCCTTGTCCAGGAATCCCCTAGGAGATGAATAAAAGGCCTCTAATCCTGATAATTTTTGCCACGTTACATAAAGATAAAAGATTTGGTTGAACGCCAACCAAGCATGCCACTGTAAAGTAAACGAGATATCTAGGTAATGCGTTAGTGCAGCGCGCAGGAAATCCCACAGCCAGCTAGCGCTCTCTAACTTATCACAAACCTTTTAATGGTAAGACAAAGCCTTTTTGCGAGAACAACGACGGTAGCGGCGAAATGAAATGATAGAAATGGAAAGGGAAGTTGATAACACAAGACAATAGGGTGATTTCCAAAACCGCATGAATTCGGTTTAACGGCGAGTTTGCAGAACTCTTGAATTCTTAACAGAAATGTGTTACCCAAGGATTGTTTTCGCATATCACCGAAAATCAAGAGTCCTCGTAGCTGGGATCGTAATGCTGCTTTTGGTTTTGCTTTACTTCGCTCTGCGATTGGTCCAGAAAAAAACACACCACTTCCACAACCAGTTAAATGCAAAACTAAAACCAATCCAAACTGAGTAACACGTGTTATGGCACACTTCAAACAGGTTGCTTGAAGAGTTCTCATTGGTTAATGATGATGTGAGCCTTTGTTCTGATTGGTAGTTGTAGAAAATTTCCTTTTGGTTTGTCAAAACTCAATCGGAAAACTGCTCTTTTCTAATGATAAGGCAATAGCCCATTTCCGAATTAACCTTGGCCTCATTTTCAAAACGGGTCCTGGCGCTCATCCTTTCATATGATAATAAGTTTTCATTCACATGCAAATTAAACTCATTTTCACAAGAATGGTTGAGCACCAGGCCTCGTTTTGAAAAAGAGGTTAAGGGTAATTCGGAAATAGGCTATTGTTTACTTGTTTGATTACTTACAGGTTGTCCATCGATCCCCGGGGATCCTTCGTCCCCGGTTGGCCCAGGATATCCCTGCAAGTTAGACAAGAGAAATACCTCCCTGTTTATGAAACCACCAAAACAAAGAGAGCTCCTGATTACACTCCGAATTTAATCACTTTCACCAGAGTATGGTGAGGGTCGCACAACAGAGCGGGGCTCTAAATTAGGTGCGCCCAATATCCCACTCATCCCACCCCAGGGGAGGACATCCATCATACAGTAATCTCGTGTGTGGGAAATTAACGTCTCCTACCCCAACCCTGCAGGAGACAGGACCTACATTTATTCGTCCCTATCCGAGAAGACTAGAATATCTAACCATTTCTTGATGTTATAGAAAGGTAGCAAATTCTTCTCAATTATTTTAAGACCCTGAGTGTTGGTCCGGCCGGGGCTCGAACCCTCGACCTCCCGCACAACAGTCCAGCGCTCTATCCATTGAGCTAACCGGGAGGCGGAATTACGAGTAATTGGCTCTTCATCTTCGTTTTCATTCATTAAAGGAGACGGAAGTTAGCAAGGTTTACTTACCTCAAATCCAGGCTCACCAAGCGCCCCGGGTATGCCATCGAACCCACGATCTCCCTGGAAAAAGAGATTCGCCAATTTCAATTCAAGTCCAGAGGAAAACTGTTCTTAGCGTCTTCCCGAGTCCTTCTTGATATAGATTTGACAGAATCGGGTCACATTTTCCGGTTAAGGATCGACAATTTTTTTCAGGCAGACTTTTCGGCCTTTCTTTTCCTGTTAACTTCAAATTTTTTTCCGTAGACTTTTTATAGAGAAGGTATCGGTTGCCACGAACAGGTAACATACTAACTATATTGTAGGTAACCACAAATGTTTTTAACTCACCACTTCTCCGTCTGCTCCTGGCGATCCGGGACGTCCCGAGAAACCGGGAATTCCCTAAAAGGCGTTTTAAAAACAGGTACTTAACGCACGGTGAGAAAGTATGACAAGTTACGGTATAAACTGAGAACTAGCTGGAAAACATACGTTGCTAATGTATAAAAGACCTAACCATGCAATTCTTACATAATTAAAAAAAAAAAAATAGTTCACGAGATCATGGTGGTTTCATGGTGTAAATGCTACTATTCCGAGTGAAGCTAACACTTCAGCATGCGTGGTACCGGTCATATGAAAAAAATATCATATTTATTCAATACATATTTCCGTTATATATTCAATCGAATTACCTCTCTTCCCTGGTTTCCTTTTGGGCCAGGTTTTCCGGGTGGTCCAGTTTGTCCCTACCGATAAAACATAATAGTAACCGATGACTTCGCTAAATAAGGGATAAAAACTAACATTCTACTCAGCATTATATGTTAAGCACATTGTTAAAAAGCCGACTCGGATGAATAAGTTAAAAGTGTGCTATTCTCAGTCATTAGAGGCAGGATCTGAATGCCGATTTGAAATTCTTCAGGTTGCGGGAAATAAGGTGGGGAGGGGCTTTTGCTTTGACGGATTCTCCCTGGGATTGACTTTTCATAGATCATGTTTCAAACATGCAGCATTTCTTTTTTTCTTTGTATTTGGTTGATGCTTCTATTTTTATTCCAGGTAAAGTAGAAAGCTAGTCGTGGTGAAAGAATTGGAAGCGGCCGCGTTGAACAGTTCTCAATTGCAAAAGTGCTCTGACTTATTATGATTCTGCCCCTCGTAATTATGGTGATGGTGTATCAGGCGAACAATTACCATTTGTCCTTGTTTGCCTGATAAGCCATTCTCGCCATCTGCTCCAAAGTTACCCTGACAAGATTAAAAACAGATAGGAAACATGTTAATTTTGCAAACAATCCTGTTCACTCTCGCAGAAAACTCATCCAAGCATTATTTACCTGTAGCCCTGGAGGTCCAGGTTTTCCCGCTCGCCCAGGAGGTCCTTGGGCGCCCTGGAGTAAACAACAAATTGATTTAAAACAACTAAATGGACAGCCATGGAATGCGTCCAAGTCAAAGTTCACTCATTTTAACACCCGGCCCGTTGTTCGCGTAGATTCTGTATCTCTGGTCAGCTGTTTAGTGGCGGATAGATTCCAGCCCTTCCCTTCTGGGCGATTATCTCCGGCCTACCGTTTGGCACAATTGCAATATTCTCCCGTTTCTATAAGCTTTCCTCTGGTAAAGGACTTTTTTGTTTTCCCTGCTTCACTAGCCTTTTGTTGTATTTCGGTCTTTTTTTTTTTCCTTATGACATAGTGACTTCGTAAGGGGTGGGCGCTCGCTCATAGTCTTGAAATCCAGGAAGTTCTTTCCAAGATTTTTTCGGTTGTTTTGGGTAGGGGAAGATTTCCCTTGACCTCACTCGAGGCTCTCACCCCTGACGTTTGAAGTCGCGGCTTCACAGCGCTGAAAATCGGTCCCCCATATTTAAATTTTGTAAGTTTTCTTCACAAACCTTCGGGCCAGGTATCCCTGGTCTTCCATCTTTTCCTGGTCTACCTGCAGGACCCTGGAAAATAGTTTATGTTTTCTATTTATTTTACCCGCAACAACTGAAAAATGCAATGTATATTCTTTGGAATCTTCAGAGGAAACGGAAGGAAACTTGTAAAGAGCTATCAAGGACAGTAAACGAATATAATTAACGATCAGGTGAGTTAGTTTTACGCTTTCACCCAAATCGAGACCAAAAAGGAATTCTTCCTCATCACATCAAAATATTTTAAAGCATTAAGACGAGGATAACAAAGAAAAATATCAAACCGGGGATAACGTTTGATTTAACATCAAATTTTCGTAGATAAAATCTTAACAAAGAAAAAACAAACAGAGAAATATACCCTGCTAAGTTTAGTTGAAAAAAAAAAAAAAAAAAAAAAAAAAAAAAAAAACCACAGCCACACCTCTATGCCCTGAGGACCTGGGCGGCCTGAATTTCCCGGTCTACCTCTTGCACCCTAGATAAGGAGAATAGAGAGCTCTGTTACAATAGACCACTTGGCATTCATGTAATTCATTAGAATGATTTAGCCAACGAGTTGGTACAAAGTGGTACTTACTACAGCTCCAGGACGTCCTTGATCACCAGTTTCCCCTTCAGGCCCTATGGAACCCTGCAATTTTAGACAAAACTGGAATCTTAAGAACGATTACGTCTTTTAATACTGATAGAACAGTTAGTATAGGTGTTGTGCTTGTCTTTAATCCAATTAAATAATTCTGTTTTTACGAAATTTTTCTAAATTTTGTTATGGGATTTTTACTTCTAAGTGAGCGCATACAATAGCAAGTCACTGATACACTCTTACCAATTCTCCAGTTGTTCCTTTGGTTCCCAGGTCTCCACTTTCGCCTTTCTTTCCCTTGATGAAAAAAAATCATGGATAGAATTGATGTCAAGTGATTCAAATTATTATTAGAGACAAGCCGAATCAATTTACAGTGGTATCCGTTACTGGTAAGTTGGTTCGAGATCTATGTAATGCTAATGAACATTGTGCTCAGTCATTTTCCTAATTGTTATCAATGAACAACAGAACGTTTTCACTCATGTGTTAGGCAGCTATGCAAATCTCTAGAACAAAATAAACGTTTAACAAAGAAAAGGGTTGAAACCATGACTAACTCAGTATACCAACAAGTCCACCATTTTGTTGGTTTCCTGGTCAATATGGCTTCCGTGACGTCATGTAAAAAAATTTAAGAAAGAAATGTGTCATTGTTCCCCACCAGTCAACTGACAAGCTATGTGACCAGTGTTGACAAAGGCTTCATATTTGGCCCACATGGAATGCGATCCTAGACAAGGGGAATTCTCAAATGGTACTTACCTTATCTCCAAGCTCTCCTTTTTGTCCCACAGGGCCTGGTGATCCCAAGGGACCCTGAGGAGAAAAATTCATGAACGTTTGAGTCATTTCATTGCATGACACGTTTCTCAAGGGATCTTTACAATCTTTACAAACGAAAAGAACCAAAATGATCAAAAAAGTCAGTCTAGGACTGCATGTGGCTACTGATAAAGCGCAGTTTTGATACTAGAGGTTGCGTTTTGTAATGAAGCTGGAAGGTAGTGTTGTAGACAGACAACCTTTATTTTCGCACGATAGTAATAAAAGCTATGCAGGTTATGGGCTCGATTTTTATTAACATGAAAAACAAAAAAACCTTCTGTATCCTAAATGTTTATGAGCACCCTGTTTCCACAGAAAGAAGAAGATTCAAGAATATAGTGGCTAATTGATATTCAACGAATAATCAAATTATATATATCTTATTAACCAAGAGCGAGGGCCGCACTGGGAGAATATCGGCCCGAGGTCTTGACAGTACGGACCGAGCGCAGCGAGGTCACTAGAAAAAAGACCGAGGGCCGATATTCTTCCAGTACGGTCCCGAGCAAGCTTGGTTAATAAGAGATTTATTATACGACTGAAGTTCAAAGGGACACAGAGCGGTATCATTCGGGACCATTCGGGACAGTGCCCGGTCCAATACTGAGAGAATATTGACCGGCAATAGAGCATTTGATTGGTTGATTTTAGTTATTGGCCCTCTGACTACCCGAGTCGTGTAATAAAATGAGTTATCATATCATAATAATAAATCGGCCTTTAGTGCCCAAGGTAAAAAATCAGTCATTAATGTCCAAAATAAGAAAAAATTCGACCACCGCATTATATCATTCGAAAAAAGAAATAACGTTTTGCAGGAAGGAAAATCATATACGATGATGCTTTGAGAAGCAAAAAGCAAGAAGTTTTGAGATATATTAGGAAATTTAATCGACAGATCCCAAACCTACCCAGAATTATTTTAAAAATTTGAAGCATAAAGTTCGCTTTTAAGAGGTCAAGAACCGATTGATTCTTTTAAGAAGAGTATAGATAAGTTCTGTTGCCATTCAGAATGAGCCCAACTCCACGTGAAAGGGCATGAATAGAAAATAAAGGAAAACAATCAGAGAAGCAAAGATAAATGATGCAATATAACCAAAAAATTAACCTACAGGTCGTCCCATTAATCCCGGAATTCCTGGCGTTCCTGGTGCACCCTTCAAGCCCTGAGATAAGGTAAAAAACAGAAATTAAAACTTTATAGTTTTCTTGGTTTCACTGTGAGTTTCTAGCGGCTCATCAATCTCGTAAAATGCCAAAACGTTCCGATTGACGACAAAAGGAAAGAGCAGGGCTCCAATATCAACTTTTTTTTTCAAGTCGTCATTTAGCTTAGATTGCAAATCATGTTACCTCTAAACCTCTCTTTCCATGTCGACCTGGTATTCCGTGTATACCATCTTTCCCCTGGTAATAACAAAAGAATCTTGGTTACGTTTGCTGATACTGCGATTATGTCAAAAATGGTCGTTAGACGGCGTCGAGTAAGGTGATCTTCGACTTCGTGTCCGCTCATAAATACGCAAACTTGGAACTTGGCCATTATCATGATCAACCCATCTTGACTCCATGTTTCGTCAATAGCTCTTTTCTTCTATCAAGGTGTATTGAATAACTTCATCGTATAAAGATCAAAAGCAACATATGACTGCCAGCAATTGAATTTGTTAACTGGCATGACATTCACTCACTTTTGGTCCTCGTGGACCCTGCAATCCACGTGATCCTGGTCTTCCGTCCTCTCCCTGAAAAATTAAAACGGTTGAACTAAACAGCATACATGTTTAGATACAAAAGAAAATATCTATATCAGAAGTGAAATTCTCTGAGAAAGCCGAGTAGCTTACCGGGGCACCAGATTTGCCATCATTACCAGACATGCCCGGACTTCCTACAATCCCCTGTAACAAAATGAAGAAATGGGGGTTGAGAAGTCGCCTTTGTCCTTTTATTTGAGGAAATTTCTTAATTGACACATACATAAGGACGTTAAAAGTAATTTGTGACATAAAACCGACTCTAATAGTGTTAAATTTGCGCGAGCAAAATACAAAAAACATATCAACTGATAAATTACCTTTTCATATTGCTGCTTTTTTTTAATTCTATTATATCAATCTCAACCTTAATTCCCTCTCACAGTATAAGTGCTGAATTGAACATTGCCTTCATGAGAGTAAAGAAAATGGTCTCAAGTAAATGCGGTCTTGATTTTCTGAGCAAATTCCTCTTGTTTGTAGCACACCGAAAATGTAGAGAGAGACCAGTGCTACTGCTGGGGTGTAAAGAAATCATCTTTTCATACCTTCCCTCCCGGCAATCCTCTTTTTCCAGGTAACCCACGTAACCCAGGCCAACCCTACAAAGAAAAATAAAGTACTGGTACCTACCAGTTCCTTCTGCTGACAAAACTTTTTTTTAACGTGCATTATGCTATCGATACGTGATACGACTAAGGAAATGTCACCCGCACTTGCATTCACACTTTCGCGCCAAACTTGTGTGTCCTTCACACTCACCCTGCACTTGCCCTCGCGCGCGCTCGTATGATAAACAATAGAACACATTTTACCGGGTTCTATAATGTGATAAAGCATCCACTTGTAGACTGAATTGACCAAACAGACGTTACATACTATGTTGATTATGTTATAATGAGGAATGGATGAATGAAAATCATGATGGAAAATATATAATAATGAATGAAAATAAAACACTGGTTCAACACCCTACAATTTTTTTCCTTAGGACAGGAAATGCAAGGTAATATAACTAATCATTGCGCCGCATATTTCGCTAATCTCATGTAAGTTCCGTTTCTGCGCGCGACTAAGCGTGAAAAATGTGAAAAACCTAACATCTACTTACAGGCGAGCCTGAATTTCCATTTGGACCTCGAGGTCCACGTGGCCCTGCCCCACCCTTAAAAGTAGAAACAAAAAACAAATTAATGAAAAAGAAACAAAGATAAATATTTGAGAATATGGTGTTTCTCCATTAGCTGTAAATATTTTCAGGTTGAAAGGACTATGAGAGAACAAATTAACTCAAGGATAGAAAACTAGGTTGTAGTAACTTTAGCAATGAATGTTGCCTTGGCCTCCCATGTGTTCGTTCCCAGTTTTAATACATTCACGTAGAAACGGATAAGGCTATACATTCTAATGACAGCAAATATTAGCTTTACCTGAGCTCCATCTTCGCCGTTATTTCCCGCTTGGCCATCTTTTCCAGGAGGGCCCTAAACGAAAAATACATAAAAAAATGTAGTAAATGAGAAATAATAAAATATTACCTCATAATTCACTTCCAGGACTTACCTGGGGTCCAGGCAGCCCTGGTTCGCCAACTGGACCGCGGTCACCCTGCGGAAAAATGAAATAATGTCCCTGGTGTGTTAACGAAATACGCCGTGGCGTGTCAGCTACGTATGTGTCGAGCAAGTACGGCTTTTAAGTTTTTTGGGGGAGACCAATGTTTAATACACCAAATTTTCTGGCCAATACTAAGCTTATTATAAGAGTCGTTCCATTATTCATCAACGCAAAAGATATCTTGAAGGAACCAAATGTCGAGGCTGAGTTACGACTTACAAGCTGACCAGTTTTACCGTCCTTTCCACGTTCTCCTGTTCGTCCCTGGAGAAAACAAAAAAAAGAGCTTACACAAAGATCGGGCTGTGTGCTGCAATACCTCTAGACTACTCCCTTCTGAGAGGGTCGCTCAGGGTTAAGGCTGGTAACCGAAGCTTATTAATAAGGAAACAAAGTTTTTTAAGCTCGAAAAGTGGGCATACATTTGATCATTTCAGCTGCTACAGCCTTATTCAAGGCGAGTGTTGTAAAACGATTTCTTCCCTATACTTTTTATTTCAAACCATTCAATCTTTCAACCAGTTTTTCTCACCCGGAGACCAGCACGTCCAGTGTAGCCCGTAGGGCCAGGAACTCCAGGTACTCCCTATAGACATGCAGAAAAGAACGTTTTAGACTCGGTGAGGATGGTACCGCTGCAGTGGTACCTAAATTGGATCAGGTCCTAAAATAATATCTTTGATACGACATCTACAAATGGTGCTAGTCAATTTCGTCCTCTTGGGGGAGAACGGCATGCCGCAGGCCTATCACCCTCATCTTCAGTTTTAGATGAAAGACGTGCTTTTAAAAGACCCTAAGCACTATTCGGACAAAGTGGAACACGAGGCTGTCGCTGTTGTGCCCTGACCATCACTCTCATGCTGACAACGTTGAGGTCAGAGATGCGAGGATAAATCAGAATACTATAGTGAAACTCTAAAATCTGGCGAACGGAAGCAATTACTCTTTCGGGTAAGAGTGACCATATGAAGGTGTTTGGGCAGTACTGGGTGACGTCACAACAGATACTCTTTACAAACTTACCACAGGTCCTTGTTTACCTCGGAGACCATTCATGCCTCGTTCACCACGACGCCCCTAGGGAAGAAGAGGATAGTGCCAAGCCATTAGAAATAATTTTTCCTGTTTTCAAGACTGATTCTATATTTTCTTTAATTTTTTTAAATTTCTATTCACATCGCTATGAACTTACAGCCCTTCCTGTTGTTCCAGGTGTCCCAGTCGAACCTTTAGCACCATTATCACCCTAAAAATAGCGAAATAACAAAAAATGAACAGTGTATGTCAGAAGAAAGGTTCCTTAACTTAAATTTTAGAGGGACAACTTCACCTTTGTTCCTCTCGGTCCCGTACGGCCTGATGGTCCATCTTTGCCTTGCTGGCCCTGAATAAAAATAAAGAACGCTCACCAATGTTTTAACCATAGTCCATGGAAGATGCATGTAACAAAGCCAAATACCATTGTTCCCTTTGCTCCTCGAAGGCCGGGAGAACCATTCGTGCCAGGTAGGCCCTAACGAATCAGAAAAGTAAAAAAAAAAATTTATTTTCCAAACTAACATGAGTCTGTTTTCTCTTTCGATCGTCACCGAGTGCTAAGTGCACAGTGAATAGCATTATTATTTACCAGCACTGATGTCATCCTGTTTGTCAGGAGATATTTAGCATTTTTTATCAGATAATTTTTTTTTATATAGAGTCCCTAAACACGTATTCTGACCAGCCAGTCTGATAATTTAGACGGTATTCATATGTTTTCTAAAACTCCAGCCAAGGTACTTCTAAGCAAGGCTTTAAAAATCAAGTGACGATCTAACTTACGGGATCTCCAGTCCTTCCCGGGGTGCCATCTTCGCCTGGTAAGCCCTAAAATAAATAATAATAACAAAAATATAAAAAAACAACAACAACCTGTCAATTATGTCGATACTTAAAGTGTTGGAAGCATCGTCAGGGTTTCCCCAGACGTTTTTCGAAAACTTTTTCCATAATCAGCTGCTAATGATGTGATAGGCCGCTGAGCCAAGAAAAGGCGCTGCAAGGGAAATTCAAACACGAGAGGTCGCGGTGGCTGTAGGCAGTAGACCACCGATAACCTGTTTTTATTAAAATCCCTGTCAAATGCTCACCTTTGATCCAATGGCCCCAGGATTTCCTGCTCTTCCTCTCTGTCCACCCATCCCCTATATCAAGGTAGAGAAGACTGTTTGTTGTAATAGCAATATAGAAAAAACTGGCTTTCTTAGCCTTTTAAATGCATCAAGGTTTTGTCATGTCTCACCCCTTCTTCGCGGTCTGCATTGGCTTAGAATTTAAGATTCTGTTTATTACGTTCAAAGCAATTCACGGCCTTGCTCCTAAATATCTATGTGATTTACTAACATCTAAATCGTCCTTATATAACCTTAGATCTTCAGATAGTATTTTACTTTCTATGCCAGCTACTCGATCCAAGACGTTAGGTGATCGAGCTTTTATGGTAGCAGCGCCAAGGCTCTGGAACTCTCTTCCAAAAGAACTTCGTGCGATTACTAATGGGAACAGTTTTAAGGCGCATATTAAGACTTATCTTTTTAAAACTTTTTATCGGTGAGCAATTTTATATTCAGTTCTATTCTCAGTTTGACATATTATATTGTTCAAGTTAATTTTTGATTTAATCAAAAGTGTAATGCGCTTTTGATCATTGTATGTAAAAAGCGCACTATAAATTGATAAATTATTATTATTTATTATTATATTAAACACTAGATGGAAAACCACTAACCCTCATTCCAGGATTCCCAGGATTTCCAGCCTCTCCAGCAGATCCCTAATGAAGAAAACAAGGTTTCTTGAGCAATCCTGAATTCCAGAAAACAAGTACGATTGCGTTTAATTCAGGAATCAGCCAACATGGCTCTCGCAACACCTCTCCTCTCCTCTCCTCTTTACCTGATCTCCTTTGGTTCCAGGAGTTCCGTCTCTTCCTGCTAATCCAGGTTTGCCCTTTGAAAAGAACAAAAAAGCTTGTGAATAATATATGCGCTCGAAATTATTGTTAAATTGTCATCAGGTTTAGTTCAAAGGGAAGTCATATTTTTACAGTTGCACTGGGCACATTGAATACGCATGCAAGGTGGTAGAAAATGAGTGTTGGCATTATTTTTACCTCTATAGCCGCAAACATGATTCATTATATAGGGAAAAAAGCCAACCAACAGAAATATTATTTGCAGCTGTCCATTATTTCTTTGCTAATATTTCCTGATTTTCGCACTCATCCCACATTCTACAGTGACTCGTTTGAACCCAGGAGTAACACTTGGCCGTTTAACAATATGGCTGCTACACACTGGTTCAAATATTTGATAATGTAGCTTGATCGTTCGGTCGGGGTGAGGGTGTCCTGAAAAGGACTCTTCTCTGTAGTAGTGACTGACACTCCCACCGCCTTGGTGGAAGTCATCATCAGAGTCAAAGTTTTCCACGAAAAGTCAGTCAGAGAACCCGGACGATGAAGCCACGCGATAATCCAGATCGTCCTTTTGTAAGCCCTTGGGGATGGCTTGATTTTGTTTCAAGTAGGTTTACCTTTTTCCCTGCCAGGCCAACAGCTCCGTGATAACCAACTTCACCTGGCAGTCCCTAAAGAAAACAGATACAAATATCTCCGTTCAGGGTCACGCGTGACAGTCTGAATAACGAAATATAAGCTCAGTCAATAATAGCTACGATTCAAATCCACCCTCATTTACTAAAAGTATACAGGACACTACCTCTGGGCCTATTTCACCAGGAAGGCCTCTTTCTCCTCTCCGTCCCCTGGATCCCTAAAATAACATAGAAGAGTTGATAAAGAATAAATATTTTCCACTCACTCTTTGATAACATGAAATGCTGAGTTACACACGCATTTTGATTGACGTCACCATCTACATTATTCCACGTTGCGGCGGGTCTGTTTAGTGATAGATCACAGAAGACGTCAACGGCGAGAACATCAGGGTCATTTACGACATGCGTTTCATGTGCCACTTTTTCGTTCCCACCACATTTTGAAGTCAACCGTCATCAATCTCTAGACTGACGCAGGCGACATGGAATATATTTGTTAAATCTCTCACAAGATATTAAAGCGCAATATACACCGAATGCAGATATGGCGTCCAATTTGAATTGCTATTGTTCTGGACTGACTAGCCTCGTCTTCACGTGGAAACACAAAAGGATTATTACAAGTGTGAGAGGCTAGTCAGTCCAGACCAATGGCAATTCAAATTGGACGCCATATTTGCATTCGGTGTATACTTTCATTGAAACACAAAATAATTCTCGACTGGGAAAGCTCTTGCACTTTTATGTCTTCAAAGATAAAGACTTGCTCACCTTTTTTCCACGCGAGCCAATTGGACCAGGGACTCCAATCCGTCCGGTAGGACCCTAGGTTGAATAAGAAAAAGTCACCGTTTGAAAATACATCGAAATATCCAACGTCTAGTGAAAAAGTAATAAAAACCAAACGTCAAGTTCACATATCATTTCAAGATACAGCTCTCTCGTTATTCCCAAAATGCCTTTTAGATCTAAACTGTATAACGGAGAACTCTCGTCATATTGTTTTTTTTTTCTCTTATTTCATGAACAAATGAACTTACGTCGTAACTTGCTCCAGACCTTTTTCGCATGGACATTTTCAAAGTGGCCGGTAAGTTTTTAATGTATTCACATGACATAATAACATAGTCCCTATCCCAAAAAACAACGGTGAAGTACTTTACCCGGTTTCCTTTAGCTCCCAGTCTTCCTCTTGGTCCTGCTGTTCCAGGGGGGCCCTAAAATTGCTCTCTTGTTTGAGGTCATTTCACATAAAATTTTGATACAGCTATTACTGTAGAAGTATGTTTTTATCCACTTCTATTTTACAATTTTTTTTTCTAGCATTGTTCAGACAAATCCTCGTTGTTAGACATTTCAGATTCCTACAAGCGTTGTCATGTTGAAATCCTTCCGTTAAATTTTATCCGCTGAAGACGCAAGGTCTTTAAACATCTTCCTGGTGGGTCTATCATAAGAGCTATTCCTGAAATATCTATGTTTTACGTTTTCTATCGGGATGCTAAAATTACAATTAATAAAAGGTGAAGCTTTTAAGAATTTAAAGTACGCCGCTATAGTTCTGTACCTCGTTTGTTCCCTCACCAGTGTTTCCCAACATTTGCAATAGTTACTTACCCTCTCCCCCCTTCCTCCCTCAGCGCCTGGTTGACCATCGATTCCCTTGCCAACAGAGAAAAGAACAAATATTTTTAGGAAGTCAATAACCCATAAACACCATGTTTGTCCTTGCTGTCATTGAGCACAACACCATTTTGCGTTTCGTGGAGTTAACCAGTAAACAGGCAGTTGAAGCAACCGCACAATGAGAAGTTGTAGCGAATTGCTTGTGAATTCAATACGGAAAACAATAAAAAGGAAAAGCTTGAAGACAAAAAAAGGTAATCCTTCTAACCCTTAGAGTGACTGGCGTCTTATTTTTCCGTACATTATCACCCTCGGGAAATAAAGGAAATGATCACCAATTTGAAAAGCTCTTGATCGTCGAAAAAATTCGCCCTATCTGTGCCTCTTGATATGTTTAGAACAGTGTGCTGAATAGGAATGCTTATCGTGGGGCGAAAAGGATGAAAGACGCGATGCCTTTTTAGACTTCTTCTTGGCTACCTACCGGAGCGCCCTCCTTTCCTCGTTCTCCTATGGGGCCCATACTGCCGGCAGGACCCTGTCAATCAATCAGAAGTAATGTCTTTATAATCAAACAGAGATAGCGATTCAACATTTTTAACAAAGAAGTACGTCTTTCAATTTCACCAATATTGCAACATTGTAAGAATCACACAGAAAATACAGTGCTTAAAACAATGTTCACAACTTGCTGTCAATCATGAGTCTCTAAAAAACAGATTTGCACTCACGCCCTTTTTTTTTTAAGGAAACAGATGCAACAGCCTTCATGAATAAAGGGACGCATGATCATCAAATGAAAATGTAAATTACATGTAGATCTTGTAACAATATTGGACGGATATTGTTGATAAGAACGATGCAAGAAGAGAGTTTCAGTGAGTCCACACGTGTTTCTTAAAAATGGCCGATTAACAAAGATAACTTTACGTATGATGCACGATCCTTCCCATCATACGTATTTAATACCGCAGTTAAAAAATATATGAACTTCATATATTCATTGTAACCAAAGATAAATTTATTCCCCAAAGCGAGGTCATGACGTAAGCGTCACACGTAACGTAATACACATTGTAACAGTTCTTAGGCTGTTAATTATATAGTACCTGGTGTAAGTCATTCTGGAGAGTTGTGCGACAAGAGTGGCTTTAAAGAGTTGACAGCATTTAGCATTGATTTTGTGACAAAATAAAACCCCGAAGACAATTTAGCACGTGAAACTATCTAATGTGAAACTGTGTTACAGAATAGTTTGTCAATACCGTCACTCCTTTAGCCCCAGGTTGTCCCGTTATGCCTCGTGGACCTTGTTCACCAGAGTCTCCTTTCTGTCCAGTTGGCCCAATGGGCCCAGGTTCCCCGATAGATCCCCGTGGTCCACGTGACCCTGGTTGCCCTCGGTCGCCTTTCAGTCCAGGAGCTCCGGCACTTCCTGATTCACCAATTTCTCCGGGGGCACCCTGAAGATTTTTTTAGTGTCAGCTACAAATAGGCTCCACACGTAGCAAGTTGTACGAAGGCGAATGATTTTGTGCGAGTGAAAGAAGAGGAAAGATGGCAAAGAGACAAAATAGTAACCGACCGACTCGACTTCCTTTCTCAAAACCCTCACGGTGTGATACTAAAATTCTCCCTTATTCTCCTAAACATTCTAATTGAAATCAAGAAATAGAATTTGGAATGATATCAGGAATTATATCACCATCGGGCTGATAAGCGTCCATTATCTCAGTACCAATTTGCTGGATACTTGGCTAATATTTCAAAGGGAGGTTTCAAGTTGGTAGCTATGACCAAAACTGCAGTTTTGTTACTAACCGCTGGTCCCTCTGGTCCTGGTCTGCCCAGTATACCTTGTCGACCCTACCATGATGAAAAGAAACAAAATGACATTCGTTTCAGTGAACCATTTCTTAAAAAAAAATATACCAGTTTGACAAAGATGTCCGAGACTGACAGCATTCAAAACCAATGTCTTCTCTTGTCAATGAGTGAAATTCAAATCAACCTATGATTTTATAGATGGGCACGGCTTTCCTTCCATAGTGGTTGATAAAAAAATGTTTCAGTGTGAGATTCCTTAACAACGTACTGCCTTCTAGAATATGATGATCATTATTGGCCGTCAACTATGTAAGAGTGGATTAAAGTCACCTTGCTCGCTGATTAAAAATTTAAGGCCAAGTCACGAAAACTAATTGGACAACGATGACAGTTTATAAAAAGCCACAAGACAATTCGTTTTTTACTCACAGGTGAACCACCACGTCCTGGTTCCCCAGGTGAACCCTGGAGTCCCTGTTCTCCCTAAAGGTACGAGTAATAAAAAGAACGTGCGTTATTAAGTCAAACTGTGAAGGAACTCCTAAGTTGACATGTTGATCGGTCGAAACTTAACCTCGATAAGTCACGAATGAGAGCAGTCTTTCTATAGCAAGTTACATTCTCCAACTCATTAATAATTTATCAAGTTACAAACCAATCACGATACGCCAATTTGGCCTCATGTGTGCGTTTAGAAACCCCGATGAAACACTGGACAGAGGCTTTTCCACTATACTTTTATGAAATATCAAACCCTATATAGCTTGATAAAATGTCAAACCCAATGATGGTCCTCAGGGACTTGTGACACTGCTAAAATATTTGACAACAAAGGCTAATAATTACTGAAAAACAATAGCAATTACGCGTACGATGCTAATGATGCACGATTGAGAAGCAATTTCAAAAACTCGTGCTTCGTGTTTCTACGGGGTTTTCAAACACTCGAAAACAATAAAAGCACTCAGCCTACGGCCTCGTGCTTTCATCAGTTTTCTCGTGTTTTGAAACCCCGATGAAACACTCACACTCGTTTTTTAAATAATATGTCACACGCTTTTCTTTTCTAGTCAAGTTGCAAGTGTCTTCTAAAACTCACCTTCCTCCCATTGACACCATTTCGACCGGGTTTTCCATCAAACCCCTAGACAAAACATGGACACATAAAACAGTTCAGTAGAAAAGATAAAGAGAAATGTCGAGCAGTTGTCATCAGCGTCCAACTATGGGAAAAAACAGCGAACAGTTTAAAACCTGACCTTTTTTTTAGTAAATGACCCCTTAAAACAGCAACGCTTTTGAACAATGTTCATCCATTAAAAGATGAAAGTGAATGTAAGTGATTATTGTCTAGCTAAATTCACCGTTTGCCCTGTTGTGCCCAGATCTCCTCTGTCTCCCGGTTGACCTTGTTCTCCCTGGAAAGTATTCAAATCTTTAAATAAATTAAATCGTAACAATTTTTCTTCTGATAGTTACGGCTTAAGTGGTTCAAAGCTGATGAAACCCCTCATTTCAGGACATAAAAGTGCAAAAAAAAAAAAAACTTAAAATAATAAACTGTTCGGTTACTTACCCTATCGCCCTTGATTCCAGGTAGACCGTTGGGACCTGGGTTACCAACTGGTCCCTGTAATAAATCAATGTTTTATAGATTGTGTTGAATATTTGACAGACAAATAAACTTATGTTTTGCGCTGAAAACACAAGAGTGACTGACTTACTGACTAACCGACTGACTTACAAATTGAATGACTGCGGACTGGCTGACCCTGCGTCAAATGAATACCTGATTCACCGACTGGCTGGATGACTGACTGACTGACTGACTTACTCACTTGTCACTAACTGACTGTGTTCGATGCGCTAACGGTGATTAATTGAATGTCGCACCGACTAACCAACTTTCTGAATGACTAAGTAATGACTTGCTGACTGACTGACTGACTGACTGACTGACTGACTGACTGACTGAGTGGCTGGCTGGCTGGCTGGCTGGCTGGCTTGCTAACTGACTGACTTGTGACAAACTGACTTCGATTAACTGACAGTGATTGACTGAATGTCTTGCCGACCTACTGACTGACTAACTGTCTGACTGGCTGACTGACAGTCTGATTGACAAAGATATTGTCTGACTGGCCTACAGACTGCCTGACTGACTGATTGGCTCAGTGAGTCACTTTCTGACTCTCTGTCTGACTCAGTGACTGACTAGCTGACCATCCAACGGATTGTCTGCTGATTGCTGGTGAATTATCGCCCGCTTTAAACAGCAAGGTCTCACTTTAAGACTGTACTCATAATGGCCTAACTTTGCAATAATAAGTCCTTGAGTAGTTTGTCATTTACCGGTTCTCCTTGGTTACCAGCAGCACCAGGCTCACCCGTGGGACCAGGAACACCCTTCAAATGAACGTACATGAATGCTTTTTACGAAGAGGTAGTTGCACATTACCAAAGTACCTGACATTTTTACGACACTAACGCGTATGATTACAGGCTGCAGCACTTGGGATGACACGCGAGTAGATTTGTATTATCTGTAATAAATGAAGATAATCTTTTGTACTTACATCATCTCCATTTCTTCCCTGGAGACCTGGGGGTCCTGGTAAACCAGGTGCGCCCTGAAAACCATTGTAAACATATGTTATCTTTCATAGATTTGTCTGATATAAGATCTCACCCTTTCTTCTGACTAATAATCTTTCATTTGTAAAAACTCGATCTTCGAAAACTTCTCAGGGTAGGTAAAGCCTTCAATCAATATCCGTAGAAAAGGCTATCTTGCAACATTGGTATCATTGCTTGGATAACAGGAGTGAGGATTTAAAATCAACTTTACCGATTTTCCTGTTTCTCCCTCGGGTCCCATTTCTCCTTTCTTCCCTGAAGTACCCTAAATGAATAAAAATTAAGTTCACGTGTTAGAAATGGTTAATGATTCTCATTAATCCTTAAATATTCTCGAGTACATGTATTGCACTTTGACCGCGTCACTGATCTGGCCTGAGTTTAAAATGTTAGGTTGCTTGCGATCAGTTGCATATCACTGTCGAGGCTCAATGGTGCATGCGCGAGTTGGTTCGTTTCACAACCAGGCTTACAGAACATTTTCTACATGCTGTTAAAATATCGTCTAGTTACCGAAAACATCCTCACTTTTGATCGACCGTTTACAATTATCGTCACCATAATCTCAGGATTGTGAGCCCCTCTCTTAGGAAAACCACGTTGGCACCCAAAAAAAAAAAAAACAGATCACGTATCACTAAAATTCAAGGTATTTACTCACGTCTGGTCCACGGCGACCTGGAATTCCCGCAGCTCCACGTGAGCCCTAAAAATGATTTCATTTCGAGAGCAAAAATAAAGAAATGATATTAAAAGAATTTAACAAACATGTCCGTCCGTTACGTGCAAGTGAGCTTCAATAAATTAGGCTGTAAAACGATTTTACCGGCTCTCCTGTTTCTCCTTTCACTGTTACGTATCCGACATTAGGTCCTTTAGAGCCACCTGGAAGCTAAAACAAACAGGCTCTGGCTTTGATACACACAACAACTTTCAACATTGCTTTTAATCATATATCGAGTATGGTTTCTTAAGCTACTGTCAAACTGGTGTATACGCGGGGGCATACTTCTCTGAGCGCTCTGCATGAAGTCTGGGCTTAGCTGTAGTTTCACTGACAACAGGCGTAAATTCTTTACAGAACGAAAAAGAAGTCAGAATGTTTTTGTTGATATAAATTGTATTTTGACCTGCAAATGAGTTCTTTCATTCTGTCTGCAGATACAACTGTTTAGCAATCAGCAGTTACGAATAGTGTTAAGGTATAAACACATCACCCAGCATGGATGTTAAATATTTTTAAAGGTATATCAGAGGAGAAAAGTTAACTTACCACCATGCCCTCGATTGGCCCAACATCAGGTCCAGTGACATTAAAAATAACTTCCCCGGGAGGCCCCGGAGGACCCGGAGGCCCGCGGGGTCCTTTAGGACCGTCATCACCAGGTTGACCCTGACAAAAAAAAATGGTTATTGGCAAGTTGAACAACAAGGTTATAAAGGTCGTGAAAGAAAGAGCTTTATAATGCCTATCACAATATTACTCTAGAGACGGGTATAAGAATAAGTGCTTTAAAAAAAAGCGATTCCCTTCTCATGCACACCTTCCAAAGACGCTGATGAACCTGGTAGGAAGGAAGGACCAAAAACATTTTAACTGTCTTAATGCGAGCATGAGTTGCTCGATTTTCTATCAAATTACAAAAAGAAGTTTGGCGGTCAGTTATGGAGTAAAAAAAATTTGATTAAATAGAAAGAAACATGAATCTCACCTTCATTCCGCGGTCACCTTCTGGTCCAGGGGGTCCTGGCCCACCTTTATCACCCTAAAAGTACAGCATTCGTTCGGCTCTCAAACTAATACTGGCCCTCCAAAATTTCAACAATGAACCCTTTTAGCCCTACTTTAGAGTGACTAACACCAATTTCTCCTTACAATTTCACCGCTGAGTCAAACATCAAGGTCACGAGAATAAAAGAAATTATCATCAACTAAAGAAGCTGAATTCTTCGCACCATATCCTTAAGAAATGTATTCTTTCACGTCTGGTTATCAGTCAGCAGAAAGCATTGCTTCTAGCATGTTAAAGGGAAACCGAGTTGTATCATATTTACATTCATGATTAAGTACTAAATCTCTTGAACTAGACATAGCTTGATTCCTTTCTTTAGTTTCGTCTGGGAAAATTCGCGAGTCTTTCGCGGCTTAGAATAGGTTTCATTCGAATTTCCAAGCTCTTGGTATGTGTGGTCTCTGAAGCTTGTGTGAGCAACAAGTTACTAAAAAAAAACCAGAAACTTCAGCTCAAACTACCAGCTGTACAATAGATTATCATACTTTGTCGCCTTTAGGTCCGGGATCGCCTGGTGGTCCAATCTAAGGAAAAAAAAAAGGCAAGAAAACAGCATGCGTTATGTCCTCTTTGAAATAATGTTTAAAGAGGCCACTTGGAATGGCCAAATCAAAGAGCTTTGTGTTAACACGAGTCGTTCGCAGTATTATACATCGTATGCCGAACTTTGGTGAGTCGAACTATCACTCCCATGTGATTCTCATTGTGGATAATACTCCTCTGTAAGAAATAACCGACTGCTGCGTGCATTAGCTTTGGCTAATCACTGAACATTCAATGATGGAATTAATTGTTGTACCCATCAAAGAGATAAACATACACAGGATGTCGACTTAGAAAAATGCTCTGGATTACTGAAGCAGACTTCAACATATAGTGCTCTAAGTTTCTCATAGTGACCTCCACTATACACATCAATAAAGCTGTCTCTTTTCGGTTGGTTTAAAAAAATTATATCCCTCTTACCTTTTGTGGAACTGCCGTCGGTGGAGTCAAATGAAAGAGACAAGAAAAAGAGAAATCATTAGATTTCGCTCCTCTTTGCACAATGTTTCATTCAAATAAGGGTTGACTGATTTCATTTCAAAGAGTTCAAGTGTGTTATCAAACTTGCTAGAATATCCAAAAGTCGACACTAGACTGAACCACAATATATTCTGGACCAATGATATACAAACACTGTCGTCTCTATAAATTACTCCTTCCTTTGCACACCTTATAAACTATTTCCTTGATCACAGCTAAAGGAGGTTCAGATTCGAGACTTCGCCGAGTTAATGTGTTGTGTTCTTGGGCAAAACAAGTAACTTTCACAGTGCCTTTCTCTTCCCTCCGGAGGATTAAAGTTCACTTGGCTCGAGTACAGGCTATTGATCAACAGCTAAGGGATCTCTGCTTCAGAAGCTAAAACAGATGACTTACCCACAGGATTCACGGATACTACTCTCTCAACTGGAGGACCGAATCCGTTGAAAGCTATACAGCGGTAGTCACCAAAGTCACCCGGACCATCTATCTCAACAAATATTGTGCTGTATCCTGTGATGGTGCGCAGTTCTGTACCGTTGGGACTGTACCAGGTGACTGTGGGTGTGGGATCCCCGTCGGAGACACACTGTAACTCTACCTTACCTCCAACCACGGTCGAGGCGAGTGACGTGTTAATGTGTGTTATCACTGGAGGTCCTTTAGATTGAAATGCACAGAACATCGTTAAAGGCATCCCGACAAGAAACCATGGAAGGCAATCGGCTCAAGCAAATGAGCTGGGAGTTAAATTTACCTTGGATTTAAGTTAAACTTATTTGACTCCCTTTAATTTGAAACCGCCGAGAAATGAGTTAAGGATGTTTGCCTTGCCCTCAATAGTTTTTACGTGTAAAATCATATGAAACAACTGAACAAGCAGGCAGAGCCGGCAGTTAGTGCCTGTAATGAGCAATTTTCACCAGATCGTCTGTCACCTTTCAAGCGACCACTATCATCTAGTTTTACCAAATTTGCTGATGAAAAATCGTACAAGTATTGAAATATCATCATAGTAATAATTTTTGTGGCTGCCATTTACCGGTTTTGAGAGCAATTGAGCCATTACTTATCATTAACAGGTTTATGTATGTGAATAAATTTCTCGCTCAGAATTTGGTCCAAGGTTTATGCGAACTTGGTGAAACACCTGCGACATTAAATTGAATAGTTCTCATTCTCACTTGTAATCTGCAAAAAACATGATGGTGTTTCTAATAACGTGACCACTGGTTATTTCTTATTGAGGAAACAAAGATGTCTCTTACTTCCACACGGGTCAATGTTACATTCCTGTGATTCCTCGCATTTGCCGATGCAGACTAGTCCTCCATTTGCCGGCGGAGGATTGGTGCAGCTGCGGGTGCGGATCCGCTTACCACCACCACAAGTAACCGTACACTCTCTCCAAGGACCCCAATCGGACCAGTTTCCATCGACTGTAAAGGAAGTACAAGACATGACAATACTGGTATCATATTGCCCCTTTCTTTTTGTTTATTTAGCTTTGCCTAATTAGAATACATTAGTTATAAACATAGGAATCTCAGGCAAGGAGGCCAATGCAGCCTAGCCAATTTCAGTGGATCCCTCGTTCAAGAAAAATAATAACTGAAGCTATTCACATATAAAAAAAAAAATGAAACTAATTAAAAAGGAATCAGAATAAGTGTTGAAATGGGTAGAAAGAGCACGACGGCGGACAAAGAGGAATCCTCCCTATATTGCACCTGGGACAGATTGTTCTCCTGCTTCTGATATCGTCATCGTCGTGTTGTCCAGATTTAGGGCCTTATACTAGGCCTTATTGTTAAACTGAAGTAGTAAAGGCTTAAATGAGGCTATGGAGATGTGACTTGTGCGCAACTCAGTGGGTAGAACATTCCAGGTGCGGTAGGCGCGTATGATAAGTAACAGTCCTACCTCGCTCAGAGATACAAGTAATAGCACTGAACGAACTGACTTTAACGGTCTTTGTGATAATACTCCAGTTTCGCGTTCTGTGCTGATAACCGCTGTTCGAATGTTTGCAGATACTACCAAGCGTGAAAACGAGGCTAACATTGTATCATATCATTGTAGTATACAAACAAACCAAGTGCGAGCGTGTAAAAATCTTGATTCTTCTAACTTATAAGAGCTCTTTGCAGTAAATATTTAAGTCGAAAAATGTGGCGAAGGCTGTCTGATGGACACAATTCAGAAGATAGAGGACTTTCAAAAGCTTACAGTGAAATATTTGAGAAAAAAATTGAAAGTAGAAAACCAGCCATGTGGCGGCAAGAAGGCTGATCTTGTCCTAAGATGTCGAGCTATTTATCAAAGAAAAAAGGTCTGCGTCGAGCCTGGCAACGTTTCAAAACAAGAACAGCCATTGATATCGTTGATTTCGAACACCAAAAGTGACCACGAAATAACGTACGAAGTTTTTTCTAGAGATCAAGCCTCTCGGGGATGTGAGTGGAGCAAGGACTTGCAAAATATACCGTCGTTCAACCTCGTACAACTCTACGACTATGGAATATGGATGGGTCTGCTCCTGAAAAATATAAACACCAAAGCTTAAAGTAATCTTGAGTTCAACTTGATACTTCGATAGTCTTATATTAATAAAGATATATTCAAAATCTTCAAAGCGAAGTGAATCGTACGAAAAGAAGCATTGCAATTTGCTCAACTTAAGTTATAACTTATATAACTTACATAAAACTCAAGAGCTCACTAAAAGCTCACATTTTACGGGCAGTCTTATGGGCATACAAAAACATACCTAGTCGTAGCTTGTACCGCGTTCCTCCCGGAGGTTTGCATTGGTCATTTTCCTTAAAATGATGGCCGCATACGACCGTTGAAGGTTTCACGTAGAAGCCGTCTCTGCCGTGCTGCCGCTTGATTAAATTGCACCATCGATTTCGAAGCGATGGCTTGGTTGGAAACTTAAAGAAGTGAATTTTCGATGGTGTTCCGTCGCTTAGATATCCAAAATTATTACAAGCTACAACTGAACACTGCTTCCCTCGACTTCTATGTTTTCTGTGGAGCTTTGGTTCGTTCATATTGCTTATAGAGCCAACAACAGATCTAAAAAAAGAAACTTTCGCGCTGTTTTTTTTGAAGTGTTATACAGGGATAGCCTCGATTTCAGGTTTACATTTACGCCTGCAGTGCATGTACAGCGGCATTTTGCGGAACGAGTAAAGGGAGTATTGCACTACATATAGTATCAAAAGCGAAAAAAGCAATAGATAAGGAGGCCATTTAATACTTCATAAAAAGTGTGTTCTTTTACAGCTACATGAGAAGATACCACTCTTAGCAAAGAAAATATTTGGATATCGGAACTTCATGATTAGTCCTGCTTTATGATTATTACATGCTCTCCATGTAATATCCAGCATAAAGATTGTACACATTTTATCACTGTAAGGGTATCATCGTTTCGTAACACTAAAGCATTTTACTTATAGGCAAGGATGATTAAAACAGCCACATACAGCAAACGGCAATCAGCCTACGGAGCTAGAGGGTTAGAAGACGAAACATTTGAAAGACCACTCAAGACACACAGAAAAGTCAGTTTAATTGTTTTTTATAACCCTGTCTCCTGGTGGTTGATGCTGCTGTTGCTTGTTAAGAACGTTCACTCGTTACCCACTCTTCTACAGATGTGGCTATAATGTAACAAAAATTGTCTTTACCTGGACAAAGGATTTCGTTGCATGACCGTGTTTCGTCACTCTCCCCAGGGCATGTCTTTCCTCCGAATTGAGCGGGGGGATTGGTGCAGGTTCTGAATCTATTCTGTACTCCGCCACCACATGTGACTGGGCAATCACTCCAGTCCTTCCAGTCGGACCAATTGCCATCAACTGAAGAGGAAATATTTTTTTTCACATAATTCATGTTTGCTTCAGATTATTAAGGAAGCAAATGGACTGTAAATTACTTGGACATGGATCTTCATTGCAAGCTCTCGATTCCTCACTCTCTCCAGGACATGGCTTTCCTCCAAATTGCGTTGGTGGATTAGTACAAGTTCTTGATCTTTCCCGAACTCCTCCACCACACGTGACAGGACAATTGCTCCATTCATTCCAATCAGACCAGTTGCCATCAACTAAATTCAAAAGAAAAGTGGGTTTATATCCCTGACCATTGTTTTGGCGTAGGAGAAGAAGTAACAATGTAAAGGAATTGTTTATAATCAAAAGAAGTTGTAGATTATGGGGAAAATGGTAGGGCAAGTGTGTTGTTAAACGAGGAAATTAGACAATTACGTGGACATGGATCTTCATTGCAAGCTCTTGATTCCTCGCTATCTCCAGGACATGGCTTTCCTCCAGATTTCGCAGGCGGATTTGTGCAAGTTCTTGATCTTTCCTTGACTCCTCCACCACACGTGACAGGACAATCGCTCCATTCCTTCCAATCAGACCAGTTACCATCAACTAAATGAAAAAGGAAAGTTGATTGATATTACGTACCGTTACTTTGTCTTATGAGAGGGAGTGGATAGAAAAGGACTTGTATTTAGTAAAAAATAATTGTACATTACTGGAAAGATGGTGGGATAGGTGTTTTGCTAATTGAAGATGAAATTAGATAGTTACTTGGACAGGGGTCTTCATTGCAAGCTCTCGATTCCGCGCTCTCTCCAGGACATGGCTTTCCTCCAAATTGCGCTGGTGGATTGGTACAAGTTCTTGATCTTTCCTGGACTCCACCACCACACGTAACAGGACAATCCGTCCATTCTTTCCAATCAGACCAGTTACCATCAACTGATTTGGGGAAAAAAGTTGGTTTATACCAATAACTGTTACTTTGCTTATGCGAGGAAATTAAAAAACGAGTTTGTATATAGTTTTCCAAAGAACAGTGAAAATAGAGGTCAAAAGAAGTCAAAATTGTTGATTCCGAGGAAGATTGTGGGGCAGACCCGTTTTTAATTGAGGACGAAAGTAGACAATTACTTGGACAAGGATCTTGATTACAAGCCCTTGATTCTTCACTTTCTCCAGGGCATGGCTTTCCTCCAAATTGCGCAGGTGGATTTGTACAAGTTCTTAATCTTTCCTGAACTCCACCTCCACAAGTGACAGGGCAATCGTTCCATTTATTCCAATCAGACCAGTTTCCATCGACTGAATTAAGGAGGAAAATAGGTTTTTACCATTCACCTTTACTTTGGTTTATGAGAGGGAAGTAAAACGAGGAACATCATATATACTCCCTTAGACAACTTTCCAACGACCTATTTTGAAACTCAGTCATTATTAATCCTCTCAAAAAGTATACTGGAAGATAAAAGTTAAGTTACTTTGATTTGTATTAAGATCATCTCGTTAAATAAGGTGAAGAAACAGAGCTGAGAATACATGTAATAGGACGTTTTCTCGCAGAAAGCTGAGCTCTGAACTACATGCAGGGAAACTCAGCATTGGATGTGAGTTGGTCTCTCTTTTTTCGTTCTCGCCATTTTTAAGAAATCACTTTATCCTCAAGATTGATGAATTGCGTTCAGGTTGCACAGATTAAGTCATATCATATAAAATAGGAAAATAATCTAGTTTGAAAGGGAAACGAGCTCTTATCCTCGTGATGGTTTGTTATTGTAAGAAGAAAAGTTTTGCTTGGGCAAGGGGCTTCGTTACAAGATCTTATTTAGACACCCTCCCCGGAGCATGGCTTTCCTGCGAACTACGCACGGGAATTATTGCAAGTTCTGGATTGATTCTGAATTATATGTGACTGGGCAATCACTCCAGTCCTTCCAGTCGGACCAATTACCATCAACTACCACAATAACATAAGATTGGGCTCACAAGACACACAGTTTCAACAGAGACGAATGATAAAAATATTTAAAAGGACCATAAAGTTACTGAAAGGTTAAAGCTACTAATTACCAGCATCAGTTCATCAAAACATAGTAATTATTTTACTTGGACAAGGGTCTTCATTGCAGGTTCTTGTTTCATCACTTTCTCCGGGGCATGGCTTTCCTCTAAACTGAGCTGGGGGATTGGTGCAAGTTCTTGATCGACTATGTATTCCCCCACCACAAGTCACCGGACAATCACTCCAGCCCTTCCAGACAGACCAATTCCCATCAACTGCAACAAGGATTACAAAAGGGTCTTTGAGCAGACACAGTTACCAATGAAATGAGGAATTCAATTGAAAAGACCAGAGAGCGGTTGATCACAGCCACTTGTGTATCATAATGAATACGAATTTACTTGGACAAGGGTCTTCATTGCATGCTTTTGTCTCGTCACTTTCTCCAGGGCATGGCTTCCCTCCAAATCGGGCGGGGGGATTGGTGCAGGTTCTGGATCGATTCTGTACTCCGCCACCACATGTGACTGGGCAATTACTCCAGTCCTTCCAGTCGGACCAATTACCATCAACTGCAACAAGGATTTTGATATAATGTGACACAACTCCAGTCTTGACTGAAGAATACTCGATAACTTTCAAAGGAAACGGGGATTTACACCGGTTGCACCAATCACAGCTTAGGATTATATCGTTTAGTGACCATCGATCTGTGGTAAGGATTGTGATTGTCCTTCAAGATCTCTCTATCAGATTGAGAAACCAAGCCATTCTTGAACATATTCATAATACTCTTCAAGTTTTTTAGTACCCCGCTCAACTCATACCAGTTGTTTTCCATTAAACTTGCGCTTTGCAAATCAGACAATGCAGGTTACATTAAAATCCAATCTACCGTGATGTTTCTCTGGATCAATCAAAACTTTGATTATCCTTACTACCTATTTTCGTGATTTGGTGTTTAATTCACCCAAAACAAAAACGTTTCCTCTTTGCTTGGAAAGCTTGATTGTTACAAGAAGAGAAGGAGAGCTCGAGTTTCGTCACAAAAATGGGCCTTTTCAAAATGATGTGGTAATAAGTAATGATTTGAAAACGTAACGAGACAATTTTCAAGCGTAGTAAATACAGATCAAAATAACATTGAGTGACAATGTCTCTGCAACATACCTGGACAGGGATCTTCACTACAAACACGAGTTTCTTCGCCCTCCCCAGGGCAAGGCTTTCCTCCAAATTGTGCCGGAGGATTGGAGCAAGTTCTTGATCTTTCCTGTACTCCACCTCCACACGTGACAGGACAGTCGCTCCAATCATTCCAATCGGACCAGTTGCCATCAACTGTTTGCAAAATGTGAGGAGGATCAATGTGGGTCATGTGATACCGTAATTTAAATGGCAATTTACCAGGCATAAGACCAATTACCATCAAATGTGTGCGAAAGGATACGAGGGTGACTGTAGGCATATGATGCCCCCATTATAATGGAAGTCTACTCGACAAAAGAACAGCTATTGCCAAATGTATGCTAAAGGTAGAGGGTGAAAATGGATTACATGATGCCGTAATCAAAATGGAAATTTACCAAGCACAAAACCAGTTACCATCAACTGTGTGCAGCATTAACAGTGGCTAAAGGGGGTAATGAAATGGCTAGCTATGAATTGTAAGGTCCGTGTTCGTGCAGGCCAGGGTAATTGTGATGTAACCCTATGCAAGAGGCTTTACTCGCTGAGTGGCTCTTTCCCCCCTAGTTATAAATGTGATCTGGAAACTCCAAGAAAAACATGGAGCAATGCTGAAAAGCCATTATCGATCGACCGTCATGCCGTCCAATGATGTCAGAATTTTTAACACAAAAAAATCAGTCCAGATCCGCTCACAAAATGTCTGCCGCATCAACGGGAAAAAAGAAAAATTGTATATGTGCACGATCCTTCGCAGTAAAGCACTATTTAAGCAATAGTGAAAATCAGACCTGAAAGAAATTCAGGCCTGTACGGGATTCGAACCACTGACCTCTGCGATACTAGTGCAGCGCTCTACCAATTGAGCTAACAAGCCAACTGGGAGCAGGCCATCAAATTAATTCGACATAAACCCGTAGATGATAAATCAAACAACAAACATATGAAATACATATATATGAACTGCGGTTATGAAACGTATATGTGCACGATCCTTCGCAGTAAAGCACTATTTAAGCAATAGTGAAAATCAGACCTGAAA